ATTTAGTTCAATCTTTAAAGGATCTACCTAAAGTAGGTGAAGCTCTCATGATAGGCTCATCACCTTGGATCGTTTCTTTTAACTTGACATATAATCTGAAGCAGATTCATCACTTCCACTCATGCGGAAGCCACCAGCCACCATGGCCTGGCTCTGGTCCCAAACCACTCCAACAAGACTGAATTAAGTCATGTCTGGTCTCTAAGCAATGTCAAATTCATAGCACTTCGGTCACTTAGTCATATATTTCTCTGAATAGGAGACTGCCTAGAAATATCAGTATATTTCAGAGGAAGCAACTAGCAAAATAGATCCCTGTGGAATAAATGGTTCTGGGAGAGTGACTTGGATTGGACATGAATCAGAGCTGCTCAGCAGTGGAACTCTCTGCCCCAGAGTGTGGTGGAGGATTCTTCTTCGGGGGCTTTTAAACAGAGGCTGGATGGCCATCTGTCAGGGGTGCTTTGAATGTGATTTTCCTGCTTCTTGGCAGGGGGTTGGACTAGATAGCACATGAGGTCTCTTCCAGTTCTACGATTCAATGATTCTATGAATCCCAGGTGTGATTTTGGGATGGGGTGACAGACAGAACTCTTTCATTGTGGAATAGGCTGAGAGTGTAGTGGAATCTCCTTCTCTGGAGGTTTATCAGCAGAGGCTGGAAAGCAATTTGTCAAGAATGCTTTGATTGTATATTCCTGTATGGCAGGGGGTTGGACTGAATGGCCCTTGTGATCTCTTCCATTTTATGATTCTACTAGCCATCCCCTGCCACTCGTTGCTGTGGCTCAGTCTGTGTATATGTGTTTTGTGTGTATATATGTGTATATGTGTGTGTTTGCACATATAGAGAGAGGAAGGAATTAATAAAACTGTGCAAGAAAATCCTATGAAATTCATGGGGTGACCATATGTTTTTCCTTCTGGTCCTAACCATCTCAAATAAGGGATACCTAACCTGTAATAAAGGATACCCAACAAATCAACTCTAATGCACTTAGTTAGTATCCTAATGGGGACTATATATATAGTTTTGCAAATGCACTGTAATGTATTTTTTTAAAATTTTGGCTTTTTAAGTCTCTTCTGTTGTGTTTTTCAGTGTTTTATGAGTGATGGCCACCTGTTGGCCTGATAACTGTATTGTGTCCAAATTTGGTGTCAATTCATCCAGTGGTTTTTGAGTTATGTTAATCCCACAAACGAACATTACATTTTTATTTATATAGATGATAAACCATCTAAAACACCCTTATGAAATTCATGAGGTTGCCATATGATTACACTTCTCGTCATAAGCATTTCAAAAAAGAGATGCCTAACCTATAATAAGGGACACCCAACCTAAACACTCTAAATGGACCTACTTAGTATTTGGATGGGAGACTGGCAAGGAATGCTAATATCATAGTAATAAGGGATAACCAACCTAAATACCCTAAAATGCTCCAGATCCTGTCTGATCTTTGAAGCTGAAGATGACTAGCCCTAATTAGTATCTGGATGGGAGACAGCCAAGGAATACTAATATATTTCAGAGAAAGGAACTGGCATGGCCACCTAAGAAAACCCTTTGAAATTCATGAAGCCACCACAAGCCTCCATTTCTGGTCCTACACATTTTGAATAAGGACACTCAAGCTGTGAAAAGGGATACCCAAGTTTAAATACCCTAAATGCCCCAGAGACTGTCTGATCTTGGAAGCTAAGAAGTGCAGATGGCCATTGTTAGTTTGGGATGAGAGACTGCCAAGGAATACTACTATATTGTCGAAGGATTTCATCCTCTGAAGATGCCTGCCATAGATGTGAGTGAAATGTCAGGAGATAATGCTTCTGGAACATGGCCACACAGCCTGGAAAACTCACAACAATCCAATACTATTATATTTCAGAGGAAGGAATTAATATTCTATGGAAGCTTTTAAACAGAGGCTGGATGGCCATCTGTCAGGGGTGATTTGAATGCAATATTCCTGCTTCTTGGCAGGGGGTTGGACTAGATGGCCCATGAGGTCTCTTCCAACTCTTTGATTCTATGATTCTATGATTCTAATAAAACTGTGCAAGAAAATCCTATGAAATTCATGGGGTGACCATATGTTTTCCTTCTGGTCCTAACCATCTCAAATAAGGGATACCTAACCTGTAATAAAGGATACCCAACCAAACAACTCTAAATGCACTTAGTTAGTATCTGAATGGGGACTATCAAGAAATACTAGTACATTCCAGAAAAAAAAACTAGTAAAATTACCTAAGAAACCTTATGATATTCATGAAGTCACCACAAGCCCACAATTCTGGCCCTAAGCATTTCAATAAGGGACACCCAACCTGTAATAAGTGATAACCAACCTAAATAACCTGACTGATCTTGGAAGCTAAGGAGGGCCAGCCCTACTTAGTAGATGGGAGACTGCCAAGGAATACTAGCACATATCAGAGGAAGGAACTAGCAAAACCATCTAAGAAAACCCTTTGAAATTCATGAGGCCACCACAAGCCTCCACTTCTGGTCCTAAGCATTTTGAATAAGGACACCCAACCTGTAATAAAGAATACTCAATCTGTCAGCTTAAATCAGTGGTTCTCAACCTGTGGGTCCCCCGGTGTTTTGGCCTACAACTCCCAGAAATTCCAGCCAATTTACCAATTAGGATTTCTGGGAGTTGAAGGCCAAAATATCTGGGGACCCACAGGTTGAGAACCACTGCTCTAAATGCACCTACTTATGGGAGACTGTCAAGGAATACTAGTATCTTTCAAAGAAAGGAATTAGAAAAGCTGGTTCAGAAAACCCTTTGACGTGCATGAGGTGGTCATATCTTGACACTTCTGGTCCTACCATTTCAAATAAGGGATGATACCTAACCTGTGCTAAGGGATACTCAAACTAAACACTCTAATTCAGTTATGGGCCAACTTCGACCCTCCAGATGTTTTTGGATTTCAATTCCCACGATTCCTAACAGCTGGTAAACTGGCTGGGATTTTTGGGAGTTGAAGTCCAAAACAGCTGGATGGCCGAAGTTTGCCCATGCCTGCTAAATGCACCTAGTTAGTATCTGGATGGGAGACCTGATCCTGTCTGATCTTGGAAACTAAGGAGGGCCAGCCCTACTTAGTATCTGGGTGGAAGACTGTCAAGGTATGCTGATAGCAAAACCAGTTCAGAAAACCCTTTGAAATGGATGGGGTGGCCATCAGAGGCGGCCCTAGGTAATTTTCAACTGTAAGCAAACAGTATTTTGCCCCCCCCCCCAACCAATCACTGATATATATTTTCTGTTCGCCGTGGGAGTTCTGTGTGCCATATTTGATTCAATTCCATCATTGGTGGAGTTCAGAATGCTCTTTGATTGTAGGTGAACTATACATCCCAGTAACTACAACTCGCATATGTCAAGGTCTATTTTCCCCCAAGAGTGCCTCAAGAGTGCTCCTGGGCAAAATCAACTGTACTGCAAAGGCTTACTTTGCGTAATGGCTTGAGCCGCCCCTGGTGGCCATACATCCAGTGTGGACTTGGAGTCACACAAAGAGCTACCTTAACCCAAGGCGAGCTGACCCTCCCAGCTCCTTTAGAACATCTAGCCCAAGTGAGCCTGGAAAAGGTTGTCTAGGTGCAGAATCCTGTGTGTGGACATCCATAGAGATACCAAGGTGCTTGTTTATAAAGCTATTCTCCTCCCAACCCTGCAAAACGTGGACTGTCTACAGATGTCACACTCAACTCCTGGAATGATTCCATCAGCGTTGCCTTTGAAAAATCCTGCAAATCTCTTGGGAAGAGAGTCGGACAAATGTCAGCATGCTGGAAGAAGCAATGACCACCAGCACTGAAGCTATTCTCCTCGTCCATCAACTCCACTGTACTGGCTACGTTATCCGAATGCCCAATCACCATCTCCCAAAGTAGATGAGACGTGATGGATTAGTTATATGGATGTATTGATGTTATATTGATGTATTGATGTATTGTTATATTGATGTAGTTGCCTTGGTTACTGTTTTAAATGCTAATGTTGTGCACTTTGTATACTGACTTGGTTGTAAACCGCTCTGAGTTGCCTATGGGCTGAGAGAGAGCAGTATACAAGTGAAGTAAATAAATAATAAATAAATAAAGTAGTTACTATACTCTGAACTCAGGAGCCCCTGGTGGCGCAGTGGGTTAAACCCCTGTGCCGGCAGGACTGAAGACCGACAGGTCACAGGTTCGAATCTGGGGAGAGGTGGATGAGCTCCCTCTATCAGCTCCAGCTCCTCATGCGGGGACATGAGAGAAGCCTCCCACAAGGATGATAAAAACATCAAATCATCCGGGCATCCCCTGGGCAACGTCCTTGCAGACGGCCAATTCTCTCACACCAGAAGCGACTTGCAGTTTCTCAAGTTGCTCCAGGCACGACAAAAAAAAAAAACCCAATAAAAACTCTGAACTCAAGAACAGGAAACATAATGTTGGTGGACAAGAAAAGAGGTTTAAACGAAATGTTGGTGGGCAGGAAAAGAGATTTAAAGATGGGCTCAAAGCCAACCTTTAAAACTGTGGCATAGACACAGAACTGGGAAGCCCTGGCCCTTGAGCGCTCCAGCTGGAGGTCAGCTGTGACCAGCAGTGCTGTACAATCAAAGAGCATTCTGAACCTCACCAACGATAGAATTGGACCAAACTTCTCACAGAGAACCCTCATGACCAACAAAAAATATTGTGTTTTCTGATGGTCTTTGCTGACCCCTCTGACACCCCCTTGCGACCCCCACAGGGGGCAGTGAGAAACAGTGCTTTAGGGCAACATCTAGCCCAGGTGAGCCTGGAAAAGGTTGACTTAGGTGCACATTCGTGTGTGTGGACAATATGCGCATTGTCCCTAAGCAAACGGGAAGGGTTTGGCTTGCACTGTGGGGGAAGTGAGTGGCAGTGTGTGGGGAGCTGGAGGTCTGTGGAAGACTCTCCCCACGGAATGGAGAGCATGTGAAGGCAGGTGGGGGCGGGCCGGGGGGAGGAGACTCTTCCGCCGCGGCTGGTGGATGTGTAGTTGAGCCTGGATGCTGCAGAAGCTCCCAACGCCGCTTGGACAGAGAGAAAGAGGAGGAGGAGGAGGAGGAGGAGGAGGTGCAGCCCAGGCATGGATGCATTGGATGCCCGGAAGGGCTTGCTGCAGGTAAGAGCCCGACCTGGCTTTGGGGATGCCAAGGCTGAGAAGGGGGGTCGAGGGTGAAACCCATGCCGGATCTTTGCCCCCAACTTTCAAACCGGGGGTGGGATGAGTTGATAGTGTCCCGATCTATCCCAAACCCCCCTCTTTTCTTTGTGTCCTCTCGCCTCCAACCCTTCCATCCTTCTTATACTCCCTTGTTTCTATTTTGTCTCTTGCCATCTTCTATGCAAACTGAGATCAAGGCGACTTCCCAAGGAAACCGGGGGGCACTCGTTTTCTCAAAAATGTCATGAAACTGGGGCTCTTTTGCCAGCTTTCTGGTCAGTACTACAGCTCCCTTTGTAGGAGTGAGGAAGCAGAGGAGGGAGAAGTCCAGAGTTCACTGCAGAGGCAGCTAATCCGGATGACTTAACTAGCAGCAACTACTCTGGTCCTGTGCTTCATCAGAAACCAGAATTCCCATTTTTGTTGGTTTTCCCCTGACATGAAGTCCAGTTGTGTCCGGCTCTGGGGTGTGGTGCTCATCTCCATTTCCAAGCCAAAGAGCCAGTGTTGTCCATAGACACCTCCAAGGTCATGCTTGCATGGCATGCCATTACCCTCCCGCTATTGATCAACTCACATTTGCATGTTTTCAAACTGCTAGGTTGGCAGAAGCTGGGGCTGACAGTGGAAGCTCACGCCGCGCCCTGGATTTGAACCTGCAACCTTTTGGTCAACAAGCTCAGCAGCTCATCGGTTTAACCCACTGCGCCACCGGGGCCTCAACTCTGGTTGTGTGCTTCATCAGAAACCCAGATCAGCATCCCTATTAAGTGTGTATATATTGTGGGTGTGAAGGTGTAGTTTAGCTTCTGAGGACTAAAGGTTGGCTGGAAATGATGTTGTAGTAGAGCAAATGATGTGTTCTTGTGCGTTTTGTATATGTGTAAGGCCGGTGGCGCAGTGGGTTAAAGCGCTGAGCTGTAAGCTTGTTGACCGAAAGGTCACAGGTTCGAATCCAGAGAGTGGGGTGAGCTTCCACAGTCAGCCCCAGCTTTTCGAACCTAACAGTTCGAAAACATGTGAGTAGATCAATAGATACCGCTCCAGCAGGAAGGTAACGGCGCTCCATGAAGTCATGCTGGCCACATGACCTTGGAGGAGTCTATGAACAACGCCGGCTCTTCGGCTTACTAATGGAGATGAGCACCACACCCCAGAGTTGGACGCGACTGGACTTCATGTCAGGGGAAAACCTGGACAGGTTTGGTCCTGTCCAGACAAAGAGCTGCAAATGGTCAAATGTATTTATGTTACTTAGCATTTCTTTCCAGAAGTCGAGACAGCAAGGATGACTATCCTTCCTATCTACTTAATCCTTGCAACAACAATCCTGTGAGGCAGGTTAGGTCAAGGTCACCCATTTCATTCATTCTACTTCCATTCATGGCTCAATGGAAACTAGAACCTGGAACTCCCAAGTGCCAATCCACCACATAAGCCACAACACCACGAGCCTTTGTTTGAATTTGGGGTTGTGGCCACGTTCATTATAGCAGTCAAAGTGTAAAATATGGTTTAAAGCAGGGTGTGGTCCTGGAGGATCAGATCCCCTAGTTCGTTTATTTATTTTATTTATTTATTATTTATTTAAAACATTTATATTCTGCCCTTCTCACCCCGAAGGGGACTCAGGGCGGAGCACAGCATATATACGGCAAACATTCAATGCCGGGACATATACGCATATATAAACATTAAAAACATTTATCTAAATATTAAAATACACAATTGAAAACCGTCCTGGTTTTCAGCGTCAAATCTAATTAGCCTGGTAATCTTTCCTATTGCTGCTTTATTGCCCTGTCCTGAAAGCTTGGAAGAAGATTGGCCTCCAGGAACAGAATCATAGAGTTGGAAGAAACCTTGTGGGCCATCCAGTCCAACCTCCTGCCAAAAAGCAGGAAAATCGCATTCCTGCTTTCCTATGTAAGTGTATCTGCTAAGGCTGTGGTTCCCAACCTTCCTAATGCCATGACCTCTCAATACAGCTCCTCATGTTGTGGTGACCCTCAACCATAAAAATTATTTTCATGACTACTTCACAACTGTAATTTTGCTATTGTTATGAAGCGTAATGTAAATATCTGATATGCAGGATGTATTTTCATTCATTAGACCAAATTTGGCACAAATACCCGATACGCCCAAATTTGAATACTGGTGGGATTTGGGGGAGGGGGGTTATTTTGTCATTTGGGAGTTGTAGTTGCTGGGATTTATAGTTCACCTACAATCAAAGAGCATTCTGAACTCCTCCAATGATAGAATTGAACAAAACTTGGCACAAGGAGATCCCACAATCAACAGAAAATACTGGAAGGGTTTGGTGGGCATTGACCTTGAGTTTTGGAGTTGTAGTTCACCTACATCCAGAGAGCACTGTGGACTCAAAACAATGATGGATCTGGACCAAATTTGTATCAAACTTGGCACAGATACTCAATATGCCCCAATGTGAACAGTGGTGGAGTTTGGGGAAAATAGACCTTGATATTTGGGAGTTGTAGTTACTGGGATTTATAGTTCACCTACAATCAAAGAGCATTCTGAACCCCACAAGTGATAGAATTGGGCCAAACTTCCCACACAGAACCCACATGACCAACAGAAAATACTGTTTTCTGGTGGTCTTTGACAGCCCCTCTGACACCCCCTCGCGACCCCTTCAGGGGTAATGACTCCTAGGTTGAGAAACGCTATGCTAAGGCAAAATAAGCTCTGTATATCTTCAAGGCAAGGCAAGCTCTGAGCCACATTCTATTTTGCACCTTCAGCTCCTGTGTATTTGGACAATGTTGTTGGTTAGATCACACTTTTGTGATTTAACATTATGAATTGAATGCCTGCCTACCTCATCACACTAGAGAATGAATCCACTTTAAATCTGGTTACTGCCTCCTGCAGAATTCTGGGGTTTATCGTTTAGGGAGGAACCTTTAACAGCCTCACTAAACTGCGAACCCCAGAATTCTGCAGGAGAAACCGGGTTTAAAGTGGATTCATTCTGTAACGTTATGAAGTAGTGTAGGCTTTAGAGAGATGTTCTTGTTGTTAACCGCTGTGAGTCGCCTAAGGGCTGAGAACAGCGGTATACAAAGAAAGTAAATAAATAAATAAATGGTTGGCATGCTACATTTCATGTATCAATAGCCACTTCTGTACCAACATAATCATACCAGGCAAGATTCTGGAAAACACCACTAAGGAAGTGGTCTGCAAACACTCAGAAACAAATGCGGTCATTGCTAATAGTCAACATGGATTTGCCAAAAAAAAAGTAATGCTAGACTAATCTGATCTCTTTTTTTGATGGAGTTACAAGCTGGGTAGCTGCAAGGAACGCCATGGATGTAGCATACCTGGATTTCAGTAAGGCCTTTGACAAGGTCCCCCATGACTTTCTGGCAAACAAAGTAGTTTTTATTGCTTCTGTAGTTTTTATATAAATTTATGATGTGATTTAATTGCTTTTAACTGATATATGTATGTATGTGTGTGTATATATATGGCTTCTAATTGTTGCCGGTCTGTACACTGCCCTGAGTTGCCTTCAGGCTGAAATGGGTGGGATAAAAATGACATAAGTAAATAAATTAATGTGGGCTAGGCAAAATGACAGTTAGGTGGATCTGTAACTCATTAAGTAAATGAATCCAGAAGGTGCTCACCATGCTTCCTCTTCATCCTGGAAAGAAGTGACGAGTGGAGTGCCACAAAGCAGGGTTCCATCCTGCGTCCCGGTTCTGTTCAACTTAGATTTAGACTGACTTAGATGAAAAATTAGAAGGCATGATCATCATGTTTACAGATGACACCAAATTGGGAGGGATAGCCAATACTCCAGACGACAGGAGCAGAATTCAAAACAATCTTAACACATTAGAGAGATGGGCCAAAACTAACAAAATGAAGTTCAACAGGGACAAATGTAGGATACTCCACTTAGGCAGAAAAAAATGAAATGCAATCATACAGAATGGGCACGCCAGGCTCGACAGCAGTAAAGATCTTGAAAAAAAAAAGATCTTGGAGTCCTCATGGACAACAAGTTAAACATGACCCAACAATGTCATGCAGTAGCTAAAATAGCCAATGGAATTTTGGCCTGCATAAATAGGAGTATAGTGTCTTGAGCCAGGGAAGTCATGCTATCCCTCTATTTTGCCTTGGAATACTGTGTCCAGTTTGGGGCACCGCAATTGAAGGGAGATATTGACAGATTGGAATGTTTCCAGAGGAAGTCAACTAAAATGATCCAGGATCTGGAGAACAAGCCCTATGAGGAGCAGCTTAAAGATCTGGGCATGTTTAACCTGCAGAAGAGAAGGCTGAGAGGAGACATGATGGCCGTGTATAAATATGCGAGAGGGGAAGTCATAGAGAGGAGGGAGCAAGCTTGTTGTCTGCTGCCCTGGAGACTAGGACGAGGAACAATGGCTTCAGCTACAGGAAAGGAAATTCCACCTGAACATTAGGAAGAACTTCCTAACCATGAGAGCTGTTCAGACAGCAGTGGAACTCTCTGCCCCGAAGTGTGGTGGAGGCTCCTTCTCTGGAGGCTTTTAAGGAGAGGCTCGATGACTATCTTTCAGGAGTGCTTTGATTGTGATTTTCCTGCTTCTTGGCAGGGGGTTGGGCTCGATGGCCCACGAGATCTTTTCCAACTCTAGGATTCTATACAATTGCAATAACATGACTGGCCAAGCCCATCATGCGCTTGAGGCAGGAACACACACACACCCCACATGTAGGTGTGTGTTTCTAGCCGTAACCTCACACCTACATGTGTCTAGGTGATGATTGAATAATTAAGAATTTCCTGCCAGCCCGTGATGTTTAAAATCTGCTTCATAAGGCAACTGCCTCATCCTGCCTAATTTGCTTTCACTGCATTATCTGAATGTCCTGTTCAAGGATTTTAGAACAGTATGAAGGAAAGAACAGAGACACATTTACCA